CCGTTGTATCCATCCTCGATTTCTCTCGTTGTACCGTCAACTTTGGAGCCGCAGGCCTGGCTAGATCAAGTCGCTAGTACTGTACAACGCGTCACCGGATCGGCGCCCTCAGTGGAGACTTTCGAGGAAGTTGAAGCAAATGATGACCGTCTGCTCATCGTGGCGCTCGACCATCATACACCCTTCATCGACACCATGGACGACAAAGCATTTGAGAAACTTCGGTATCTCTTGCTTCGTTCTAAAGGCATCCTCTGGTTAAGCTTTGGTGGAGCAGTTGACAACGAGGATCCACGCTTTGCTCAGATGGCTGGTCTGTTTAGGACTCTGCGACGCGAAGATCCAAGTAAGCGATATGTTCGATTGGCATGTGAGCGACCACAGCAATCGTGGCCAACAGAAACACTGCAGATGCTGGCGCACGTGTTGCAGCAGAGTTTCGACTATGGCCCATCCGGTAATGCCAACTTGGACTGGGAATATTCTGTGAAAGACCAAGGCCTGTATGTTCCTCGTCTGTATCCAGATCTTGCGCAGGATAGGGCTGCTAGTGGAGGCGACCAACCTCCTTACCTGCAAGACTTCAGCTATTCCAACAAAACACTGAGGCTTCAACGAACACGCAGCGGTGTATCCGGTATCGGATCCTGCTTTGTGGAAACATCCAGCACGGTGGAAGATTTGCCGAGCGGATTGATTGAGATCGAGCCGAAAGCTTTTGGCCTGAACATAGTAGAGGCAATTGAAGACGACGATCCGGCCGCTCATGAAGGCAGCGGTGTCGTTAGAAGGCTTGGTCCAGACACAAAAGATTCCGGCCTATGTGTTGGTGATCGAGTCTGCGGTATCTTTAGAGGCCCCATAAGCAATGTCAGCCGCGCTCACTGGACATGCGTCGTCAAAATTCCCAACGATCTTACTTGGGAGGAAGCTGCATCCGCACCATATGCGTGTTCGACCGCTTGGTTGGCTTTGCGCAATATCGCAAGATTACAGAAGCATGAGCGAGTGCTATTACACTTTGTTACGGCAGGTGTTAATCGAGCTGCTCTTGCCTTGGCGCAGAACATCGGAGCCGAGGTCTTTGTCACTTGCGCAACAGATGAAGAGCGCAATATTCTGCTAAGAGATTACAACGTCTCCAGTAGCCATATCTTGCCTAGCGAAGCCGCTTCTGTTGTTGCTGCTATCATGTCCCAGACCGATGGTCAAGGTGTGGATGTGACGCTGAGCTCTGTCGGCGGGTCATTGCTGAAGGCATGCTGGGAGTGTACTGCCCCATTTGGCCGCTTCATACAACTTGGCAGGGCCGACTTAGAAAAGTCGAAGCACCTTGATATGACGCCGTTTGGCCGTGGGGTCTCCATGACAGGCCTTGATACCCTGCAATACAGCGATATGAGAGGCACGATATTCCACAGGGCATTAGCAGAATCCATTGAGTTGTTGCAGCACGAAAGAGCTAGGCTCGCTACATCAGCCAAAGTCTTCCGGCTGGACGAGGTCGACAAAGCTTTTGAGCATATCCGAGGTGGGAGCCACTTGGGCAGTGCTGTCATTCTTCCACAGCCTGGTGATGAGGTGCATGTCATCCCCAAGACTAAACCTTCGCTTGGCCTCGACTCTCCGGACTCTACCTATCTGATCATTGGAGGTCTTGGAGGTATCGGACTTGCCGCAGCTTATTGGATGATGGAACAGGGGGCCAGAAATTTGATGATAGTCTCCCGCAATGCTGTGGCTCACCCAAAAGGGTTGGCGTTGGCTCAAGAAGGAAGTAAGTACGGTTGCAATGTCTACTTGCGCAACTGTGACATTTCCGATGGAGAGTCCGTCCGTAGTCTCCTGGCGAAAGTGAGGGAAGAGCTACCTCCAATCCGCGGGGTTTTTCAAATCGCCGCAATACTCGACGACACGGTCTTTGAGCGCATGATGTTCGAACAATGGCAGAAAGCTATCGGCCCCAAAGTCACCGGCACCTGGGCCCTTCACCACAACTTGCCAGGCCTGGATTTCTTCATCACGACCTCTTCCGCCACAGGAGTTCTGGGTAACGTGTCACAGAGTAATTATACTGCTGGTGGTACGTTTCAAGATGCATTCGCGCGATACCGCACGTCACTCGGCCTGCCCGCTGTGACAATCGATCTTGGTCCAATCGATGATGTTGGGTACGTCGCACAAGGTGGAGATGCAGTGAAGATGCGCGTGGAGAAGGCCCTTGGCATGAAGTGTTTGCCCATCGCCCATGTATTGCGACTGTTTGAAGATGCAATCAGGAATCCAAACCGACGCCGTACCGAGAACAGCCAGGTCATTACCTGTATTTCTGGGTACCGCAACTTGGTGGATGATCCAGCGGTGAGGAAAGACCGCCGATTGGGAACTCTGCGATTGGGCGATGCCACCGCGACAGAAGCCTCGGTCCATTCACAGTCCGAATCATCGAAGAACATCGATGGCCTGGTGTCTCAGTTGTCGACAGAATCGTTGTCCGAAAGCAGGTCAAAGGAGGTCATCGTGGACCTACTGGTAGCCAAGGTTGCCGAGTTGTTCAATTTGGAGAAGAGTGACATCGACACTGGTGATGCTCTGACAAGCATTGGCGTTGATTCTCTGGTTGCTGTAGATTTTCGGAACTGGTTGGGTAGCGTTGTCAAGGCCAAAGTCAGCATCTTCGAAATCCTCCAGACAGCGTCGCTGGACGAATTTTCTAGTCTGGTAGCAGAGAGAAGGAAATAGGGGAATTTTCGGCTGTATGTGGCTAGATAGAGGATTATGCATTCGGTTTCGTTACAAGCTTCAAGTGGAGCAACCACGCGACGCCCGGCTCTTATTTAATCCGGGCTCCGATAGTCCGATGGCTTCTGATGAAGCTCCGCGCTCCGATGCACGCCATAGGTCAGATGTGTTCAGCTGAACCGCAGGACGGTACTCTCTGCATATGCTATCGTATTAGCCCCAGGGGGATTCGCAGGTTACTTCCGAGCCTAACATAGTCCTGATTCGTGCCTTGAGGTCATTGTTGGTTGAGACGTGTCGCTTATTCCCATGAAACTGTAGGAGCATCATCAATTCACTCACGACATACATATCCCTTGCTTCTCTTGTTCCTCCCATCCCAGACTCTAGCTTTTGATCTACACAACTTAATCTAGAACACTACAACACGAGTTGCGATTGGAGTCATATAGAAGAAAGTCCGCGCGAAAACGCCCCTCATACAACAAGCCTCACATACATCCTCGATCCAGCTAACAGGCCAACCCATCAGCCATGTTTTGTAGGGTTCCTGCTCCTCCTCAACTTTCTCCTTCTAATGAACAGCAGCCCTGAACACAACCGCAACCCTCCACCACGTAACTCACCTCCCGCGGTCGATTTCCTTCGCCAGTGCCGTCTCCCAGCTCCACAACCACGAACTCCTCATCCGTCTCGACCCTGAATATGCTTCTCACGAAACCATCCCCTCGGACCCCTCCACCCCAGCGGCCAAATGCTACAGAATCACCGACCACATGAATGCGCTTCCCGCAGGTCTGTGGGACACAACTGTCAAGTTTGACGCGCATATGACGGATCTGGATGATGGAGTGTTGTGGATCATTAAAGCGCCGCTGGGACTAACGCAACGGACCACTTGGAGGTGCTTGAGGACGGACACTTTGGAGGAGGCAGACAGGGCTGAGGGCGTCGAGGACAGTGAATGGAGTTTAGTGGAGGATGTGGAGATCAAGGCAAATAGGATGTTGGTTGGAACAGTCAAGGGAAAATGCGAGGAAAACTGGCCAGGAGCACATGGCAAGTTTTTGAAGCATTTGATGGCGGAGGGTGGGGAGACGAAGGCATAATGAGGAGTTGGAGCAGCCTTGGAGAGATTAGTTTTACTTGTACAGGTACTGGAGGCGTTCTGAGCTCGCCCCACAGTCATGCGTGACCTGTTCAGTATATAATTCCTACTACAAAGAACGTACTCCAGTTTTGAGCTATGATGCTACAAATGTAGTCGACAGGCCGAAGCCAAAGATTTACGGCACAGTTCTTCGCAAGCCTCGCCCGCCATGCCGGGAACGCGGAGATTCAGACCAACCAACACCTAATCAGGACCGATGGGCCATGTGCCGTTGGGCCTAAAGACGTGTTCTGCCTGGCGCATGGGGCGAGAAGTTCCTAGGCGGAGCCTCTGCATCTAGAAGGCGGGCAGATTGGCGGAATTGGATCCTGGTGGCGGGACGTGAACATCAGCTAGGCGTAAAGAGGATGCTGCTTCTCAACCTGGGGAGTCCCTGCATAAAGCCAACTGCAGCAGCATGGAGAACCGACCCTGAAAGCCGACTGCTGCTCCCTGCATTTCTTGTTGCGCGATGGCGGTTTGCAATACTATATCATGGCCAGAGAAGCAGAGGTTCTTGTCTGCTCACGCGATGCTGTGAGACAGGTCAAGCGACCAATGTCTCTCTTTGGAGGTGCGCTGGTGACCGCCGAGATCTCGCACGTGGCGCCGTTCCAATCGGGCCTTCTGATAGCGACGATAAGACATTGGACGACAGCAGTGGCAGCACATGAAAGCTGCTGCACGTCGCTGCTGCTGGCATCCTTCGCGTCATCTTGTTACACGCTATAGTCAGCTCTCGGTCGACTTGCTAGCTGACGGCTCGAGATCGTTCTTGAACCGAAGGGCTGTTGATCGGCCTGCCTCGCTCGCTCGCCGCATAACACGGGCCATGCTCCCCGCCTTTCGCCTTTCTAGACTGGAACTGCCCCATTCCGCTATCCGCTCAGCTATCAAAAACCGCGCACCCAACCGCCGGGTCGGCGTCAGCTTTCCTGCGTTTGTTCCTTTTTGCTGGTACGGGACTGTTCCCACCTTCTCTGCCTGCCATCTTGCTCCTGCAGTCGTGACGACATCCTGGTCAAGTTCTCGACATTGACAGCACCCTCCTTCCCCGCGCCCAACCATTCATCGTCGAGCACCGCGCACCGCACAGCCACGCCTCGCCATGGAGCCGCTATCCATCGACTCCGTGGTCGTCGACCATGGCGAAGTGAACCCCTCGCCGGGAACTCCTCCTTCGGACGCCATCATGATCGAGCAGCCAAAGATGAAGGGCAGGCAGCGTCTGTTCATGGGCCTACAACGCATGGCGTCTTCCAATAGCCTGGCACACATGGGCAGACCTCGTTCACACAGTCTGAGAAGCGGCGGAAAGGCATCCATGTCTTGCGTCTCCCTCGCATCGCCTGGCTCGCCGTATGGAAACTCGTTCGGCAGTTCCTATTCGTCAGAACTGTCGAATGGTTACTCTACGGCACCAACATCAGTAGCCAACAGCCCGCCCGGCACTCCTTTCTGGGATGAGAGGACCCGCCTACGCATGAAGACACCAGACGTTCCATCCTCAGTACCTCTCCCTTCGGCACGACGACCCTTCACCCGGGATGGCACCGAGGCCGAGAGCGACTACTTCTCGCGGCCTGTACGCAAGGTCCAGAGACGAGTCAACTTCAACTTTTGGGGCGACATGCCCACCGAGATTCGCATGCAGATTCTTAGATATCTCGAACCCAAGGAAATTGTGCGATGTTCGCGCGTCTCCAAATCGTGGCATACCATGTGCTTCGACGGTCAGCTGTGGAGCGATCTCGATACGAGCAACTTTTACCGCGACATCTCAGCCAACGCTCTGGTCAATATCATCACATCGGCGGGTCCGTTTGTCAAGGATTTGAACTTGAGAGGCTGCGTACAACTGAGGGAACACTGGGGCAAGGACGGCTTCATTGAGTCTTGCCAGAACCTGGAGAACTTTTCGTTACAGGGATGCCGGATTGACCGGACGTCTATCCACTGCTTCCTACTTCAAAACAGCCGCCTCGTTCACGTCAATCTCTCGGGTCTCGCAGGCGCAACAAATGCAGCGATGAAGATCCTGGCCGCACACTGCCCAAGAGTCGAAGTCTTGAACATCTCATGGTGTAACAACATCGACAACCGTGGGCTGAAAAAGGTTGTCGAGGGTTGTAAAAAGTTGCGAGACATCAGAGCTGGTGAAGTACGAGGCTGGGACGACGTCGACCTGATGGTGGAGTTGTTCAAGCGAAACACTCTAGAAAGGCTCGACCTCAAGAACTGCGACAGTCTCAATGATGAAGCGCTGGCTGCTTTGATCGAGGGCGTAGACGAAGAGGTCGACGTCCTTACCGATCGGCCAATCGTCCCACCCAGAAATCTCAAGCACTTGAACCTTACTCGTTGCCGCAGTATCACCGATACCGGCCTGAAGACGTTAGTACACAACGTCCCATATCTCGAAGGCCTCCAAGTCTCGAAATGCGGCGGACTCACCGATGATGCGTTAATGAGCTTACTGCCTACTGTGCCAGTTCTTACGCATCTAGATGTTGAAGAGATCGACGGATTGACCAACGAAGTCCTGAAGACACTCGCTGAAGCTCCATGCGCCCCTCATCTGCGACACCTCTGCATCTCCTACTGCGAAAATCTAGGGGATGCGGGCATGCTCCCCATACTGAAAGCCTGCACCCGTCTCGCATCACTTGACATGGATAACACACGCATCTCCGACCTCGTCCTCGCAGAAGCCGCATCAGGCCTCCGCAACCGCAACCGCGCCGCTCGTGGCTTAACCAACTCAGAGCGCCCAGAGGTTGGTCTTCGCATCGAAGCATATGACTGCGCAAATGTAACATGGACCGGTGTTCGCGAAGTCCTATCTCGAAATGCAGAGATCACACGTCCTTCTTCGCGCTCTGCGAGCAAAGTCGCGACGTATCCACGTGAGATTATCAAGCTCAAGTGCTTCCATAACTGGCAACCTACGGTGGAGGAACATACCAAGCGTGTCTTGAGGGGTGATTTCGCAGCCGCCGCGCGTTTGGAACGCAAGTGGGCCGATTGGATGATGCTAAATGAGGAAGCAGGTGTTGGTGGTGCTGGAGCCAGGCGGCGGAGAAGAAGAGCGAGGGAAGCGCAGATGATGCATGCGGATGAGGAGGAAGGCGGTGCTGGTGCTACTGGCGGTGTCGGCCGCCGCCGCCGTGCGCGAAGTGGTCCAGGTGGCTGCACTGTGATGTGAATGTGTTTTTTGGTATCTACAGCGGCGGGGTCATATGGCGTCTTCTTCTTGGGATAGAAGTTGGCCCCAGGTTTGTGGGTTGATGCAGCAATGTTGCATATGGCTCGAATACGTTGCACAATGATCCGATGCTCCTCCCCTTGGGTGAGTATGAGCGTTGGAAATAGTCCTGATATTAGCATGGGTATCTGGAGTTGTGGAGCGGCTACTCTTCTACTGTTCATAGATCTCTACATGTTGCATGTTACATAGTTATGCATCCATCTTCATTCACTCTCAGTCAAGAAGTCCTATTTTGTAATCTTGAGTCGAAGCATGCTGCAGCTCGCGGCCCTACATCAAAATGTTTGTTTGCACGTGAGCGCGCGACTAGCTCGAGTTAGCGGCGCGTTTGCTCTGCATTACATCATCTTCGAACAATCGCTCATTCAACTTCGACATATCATTGCGAAAGAGCAAGGCTTTCATTTCTGCTGGTAACAGTCTCACATCAGCCGAAAAGGAAACATGGATGATCAATGGGGAATTTCCAAGACTAACCTTGAGGTTTTTCGCATCGCGGGTCTACCACCAGACTTCTACTACATTCCAAATTTCATCAGCGCGGAAGAAGAATCGTCAATAGTGCAGAAGGTGCGTTTTCCTCTTCGCTCTTATTCCCAATTCTTTTTCCTATTCTCCAACGCACGAGATTGCAGACACAAAGTTTGCAGTTCTACTATTAACTACCCCGCCCTGTTCGCTCCCTCACAACAGCCCATGGAACAATCAACACACCTAAACATCTTCACTACACTACCCTTGAAAACCATAATTATGCAACTAATATCCCTAGATTCCAGCTCAGAGATGGACACACCTCACTCATCGGCGTCTCCAGGCTCTGCCCTCCACCCTCACTAAAAACAATACCTTGCTCGCCGCCCCTTTACCCGCTTACCTTACCAACCCCATCCTATCTCGTTTTAAGGACCTAGGAATCTTTGACCACACACCGCACGGCCAGTCAAACCATGTTCTCGTCAACGAGTATAGACCCGGTGAAGGCATCATGCCGCACGAAGACGGAGATGCGTATGCCCATGTCGTTGCGACTGTCAGTTTAGGTGCGGGGTTGTGCTTGGACGTGCTTCCTAAACCAGAATCTTCCTTCAATAAAGAAGGACAGCAGGATGGGGGTAATGAGGGGCAAGGAGATGGGAAGAAGGATAGGAACGAGAGGCAGGAGATCGAGCAATCTTCACCTACTAGAAACGAGGACAACCAGCAAGAGAAAATGTTGCACCTACCTACACGTATTTTTCAGGAACCCCGCTCCTTGCTCATCACGACGGGTCGTGCGTACCGAGAGTTGATGCATGGTATTTCGTCAATTGAGGTTGATGAGGAGTTGAGTGAGGGAACGGTGGCGAATTGGGGATTATTGAGTCAGGAAGGAAAAGATGCGATTGCTAGGGATGGTGGCAGTAATCTCAGAGGTACGAGAGTGAGCCTGACATATAGGGATGTAATCAAGGTTAGTACAGCAGCGAGTAGAGTGTTGGGTATGGGGAGGCGGTGATACTGAGAATATTGTCATCATGCAATGACAATGGAATGGCAAAAGCGGAGTTCGTGTTTCAGAATACTTGCAATCGAGTCATCACGAGACCGGAATGGACATAGCTTGTTGAGGTGCAAAACATGATTGGTATACTTCGCTCAAACGGACAAACAAAGGAAATTACCTGCGCCTAATCATGTACATCGCTCTTCGTTTTCGGTACACTACTCCAGACACCAGAATCAGAAATCGCGTTTCTGCCTACACAGCTCACGCCTGCTGTTCCTTAGCAGGCCTATAGTGCCCATTCAGATCCGTGTCACTCCCATCACTCCTGCTGTTATCGCTCTGCCTCCTCTCGCCGGTAAGCTTTTCGGGCCTCTGCTGCTCCGCCAACTTCGCTGCCTTCTTCCTCCTCATCTCGCCCCAGATCGCCGCAGCAACCCAGGTAACCCACATAACACCAGCAACAACGCCGTAAGCAATCTCACCATCAGGCGAGTTACCCGCAAGCAGTAGGCCAAGCCCACCGTTGATGATACCGAGAGTAATCGCGATGCGACCAACCCAGATATGAGCGTAGGACCAGAGAGTGCGGTGACTGTACTTCTTGAAGAGGACGTGGTGCATCCAGCCTAAGATCGGTTGGAAGAAGATGAGCGCGAAGACGACCATGCCGATGATGGCATGGTAACTGTCAATGTAGTGACCGCCACTGACTGGTAGAGCGAGCCAGATACCTAGACCAAATGCAGCAGTGTATGTCATGTAAGCGAAGATCTGGAACAAGGCGTGAAACCAGAGGACGCTGGGGAAGGAAGCGAGACGGATGGCGATGGATCCTGCAGGGAAGAGGATGACGAACGCGAGAGAGGCGAGGACACCGTGAGCGATGAGGTGTTTCTTCGTGTTGGGTTCGCTGGAGGAGATGGTTGTGACACCAGAGTTGGCGCCGCCGTTGTTGGGAAGCGTATCGCAGTAGGGGAGTGAGGAGTCGTCGGATTGACGTTTATCCCATGGTGCGCCGGTAGGCCAGGATGTTGGGCGCGCGGTAGGTCGGCCAGTCCACCAGTCGTCATCGTCGTAGGAGGCAGTCTTGCTGGGTTTGGCTGATGATTCTGATCCTGATCCTGATGCTGTTGCTGCGGCGCCAGAAGGGCGTTGGCGGCAATTGGTCGGAGTTGCGCCTGATCCGCCGGTGGTACCGGAGGGGGAGGTGTTGAGAAGGGGGTTTACACTTGAGCCTCCCTTAGCGGCAGCGAACTCCCAATTGAAGACGCCTTCGCTACTGTGCTGGCGGATAGATGCAGACGTAGAGTCATCGTTCTTGGGACCCCCTGAGGATTGGTAGGCGTAGATGAAGTTGCCGCTGTTGGAGGTAAAGTCCATGGTGCCGCCGGACCAGCTGTTACAGTTGGAACCTGGATTACATGTCAATGGATGTTCGGATTGTATGAAGGAGTATAATACTCACATCTCACGGTGGCAGTCATGACACCATTCGAGACACCAGAGCCTTCAAGTAGCGTGACTTGCGCAGCATCATTAGGGCTAGGAGCGCTATAGCTGCTTGTCGTTCGTGGCGATAATGTCACGTTATTGCCGTCTGCTGAAGTGTATACAACAAACATGTTGGAATTGGCCATGCCACTACCCTGACCGAGCGCAACCCACTCATAGCTGCTCGGTGCAGATATCGAGAAAAAGATCTCTCCAGCATCGGAGGATGCTGCTGTTGCTTCGGGGATGTTGAGCCCAAAGGTTACACCGTCCGAGGGACTGGTATTGGCAACTTGGGCTGAGGCACGATAGGCTAGATATGGTTAGTGCTGTAGTACAACTCGGCTGTGGCAATAGGCTTACCCAAAGCCAACAGGCCTACAGCAGACGTCTTAGTATTGCGTCTCATTTTTGATGGCCCTGAAGAACGTTGAAAGGAAACTGAAGTAAGAGATGTCAAAGGGCTCGACGCTTCGAGGCTAGTGACGCCCGGCTGAAGTGGCTTGAGAGGCGTCCCTAAAGCAAGGTAGATGACAAAGCTATTGATTTGGCCTAAGGGTAGGAGAGCCAACGAACCAATGAGACAAGATGTTTTGAACTTGAGTAAGTGATGTTCTGTCAGATATTTCTTGGTGGATGTGGACAAAGAGGTTTATAGATGGTGGAGACCGGATCGTCCGCCTTCCAAGAGTACCATCCAAGGCCCAAGACAGATGCTGACAGAAGCATGGTCTACGTACACACACTTGGCCTAGTTTGGTGAGTAGGTATCTGTAGGCACAGTTGAACCAGCGGTATTACTGCTGATGCGTGGTTGGGCAATGCTGGCCGAATGCGGCGGCTTTGCGGAGACCCGTCACCGGCTGGGCAGACCGCAAACAACCTCAGGACATGACAACACAACTTGTGCAAGAGGTACGCGTCACAGACGCCATGAGGCGCGAACAGTGAGATACCCGAGCGAGCATGGTTGCAGACTTATCGTGATACCAGTGAGGGCTGGCGGACTTAACGGCGGCGCGGCTTGGCCTTACGCGTAGAGGTGGCTATGTGCAGGGACAAAGAAGTAACTCGCACCCGGGCGAATAGCACGTCGCGTATTTTGCAAAAGTAATGTCCCGATGCTGGGGCACGCTGGCGAAGGCGGGCATGTTGGTTCGCGTGCGGGTGATGAACGTGTGAGTTAGTAGCGAAGCCCTGGGAGGACGGACTTGGTACTCTTTGCCGTTGTGGGTCCCTGCTCATGGATGTGCCGCACGTTTCATCGTCGAAGCCGCAACTTGGTGCCTCTCAACACTCCCACTCCGCACTCCAAGACATGTCAGCAATCTGCATTCAGATCCAGACCTCGATGCCTTCGTGCTCATCGATCTGGACAGCCTTCTACAAGACCTTGGACTCAGGGCAGTCCTTGAAATTGCCTACCCCTATCGTTCGTTCAAATTACTCCTAGACTACTGCGAGATTCGGCTATTTCCACATATTACGGTCTATTGTGCCCGGTGCTATAGCTACTATTATCGAGTTGGTTCCTGCTTGGATTACTCTGCAGTGCATCTGCAGCTGCATTTTCCGGTTTCACGTGGCGCTGCATCTGTCTCGATAGGCGCAGTGGTGGCTTGCAGCCTCAGCCCTGCCCGACCGCGTCAGCTATGACAGAAGCCTTGGAATCAAGGAAGTAAATCAACACCATCGGCGTTTCCTGGAGAGAATCACCGAGGTATCACGATGCCAAGCTGACTGCATCCTCTCAGCATACGTAGACGAAATGTTATCGATATCTCATCGACATGACTGGATTGCGTTTTGTTGATGCAATCAGCAAGCTTGACATTGAGTTGTGGCACCAAAGGTGAGCGCCCCGATCTTACACAGCAAGTGTTTCACGTTCGCGCACTTTGCTTTCTGACTGTGTTTTGTGCAATTGTGCATGATTTTGTTTTCTCGTATGATTCAC